ACAGAGTGTAGCAAACACAGAGAAATAGTCTGACATGCTCTCAGTGATAAGCTGCTAGTCATCACAGTCCATGATATCAACTAATAACAGGAGATGTCAGATTCTGCCCCTACATTGCATGTTATTATTTTATTCTGCTTTATGTTTATATTGTACAGCGTTATAATAAACTTTATTCCAGACTCAAGTCCATATAAGATACATACAAAAACACAGAAAATACCATAAAAACAACACAACAAGTACTGTAGGTTTAAAACACTTAAATTTTACTTAAAGTTCACTTCACTTAAAGTTTAAAACTTCTTCTCATTTTTATATTGATATATTGATAAATACATTTGACATGTGATTTTGTTGTTGTTTGTCTTTTTATTTTATTTTTGCCAGTGCCATACAGCAACAATGCTTGGGGATGTGGTCTTTTACAAATTTGAAAATACTGTAAGAATGTCACTTTTATAGAATTGGCTTCTTTATTTTATAATGTATGATTAATGTCTACATCAACAAATGTTAACCATAGAATCGTATCGAATCGTATCGTTCCTACACTGTATCAAATCGTATCAAATCGTTCTGTATTAAAAATATATCGTTTTTGAATCGTATCGTAACCCGTGTATCTAGATACGTATCGAATCGTCTATCACAGAGAGATTCCCAACCCTACTATTCACTCTGACAACACAGCAGTAGTAGATATAATCAGTAAAGGCCGTTCCCGTTCCCCAGCCATCATGCCATTCACCCGCAGACTCACTCTCATCTCCGCTCAGCATCAATTCATCCTCCGTGCGTCTCACATTCCCGGTCACCACAACGCCATCGCTGACTCACTCTCCTGCTTCTCTTTCCAGAAATTCAGATGCTTGGCTCCAGACTCGGATGTCCATCCCACACCAATCCCACCGTTTTCAGTGACCATATTCAATTAAATCCTCATCTGGCAAATCTCACTCGCACCTCCCAAGAAGCCATCCTTAACAGTTTAGCACCAAGCACGCTATCTGCTTACCTCACCGGCTGGAATTCTTTCAAGAATTACCACGCCACTTATCATCTACCATTTCCCTCTCTGGACGCCATGTCCATGTGCAACTTCATCACACACTGTCATACTGTAACAAAGATCCAGGCCTCCAGCATACAAACATATCTGGCTGGTATCAATTTATTCCATAAGTTATCTACCGGCCTCCCTTGTCAGTCAATCTCGCACTCTCACGTCACCATGCTAATCAAAGGCTTACGAAAGCATGAACCAGCGCTGATAGCCAGACGCCTTCCTCTCACCTCCGATCTGCTCTGCCGCTGCATACGCACTCTGCGATCTGGTTACATTTCTCTCACAGTCGACTTAACACTGGAATCAATGTTTCTACTCACTTTCTTCGGATTTCTGAGGTGCTCTGAATTTGCTCCAACCTCATCTGTCTACGATCCTTCCCCTCATCCCAGTCTATCCGACATCAACACTCACACTTCCAACTCGCTCATATTCACACTCCGCAGGAGTAAAACCAATCAGTTAGGAGTATCCTTTCCCATCTACATCTTTCGCCTCAACTCCTTTCTCAGCCCGCATGAGCCACTGACCAGATACATCCACACCCGGTATTCCGCCCACGCTTCACCACAAGATCCCCTCTTCCTCACTGAAACAGGGAGGATGGCCACCCGTTTCTGGTTCCAGAAACACTTCCATAANACGCTTCACCACAAGATCCCCTCTTCCTCACCGAAACAGGGAGGATGGCCACCCGTTTCTGGTTCCAGAAACACTTCCATAATATCCTCCGTCTCTCCGGAATTTCATCAGATCATTACTTCATTACAAATGTTCCGCATCGGCGCTGCCTCCTCAGCCGCCAGATCAGGAATTTCAGACCAAGTCATACAGGTCCTCGGCCGCTGGTCTTCACAAGCATATCAAACCTACATCCACAGTAACCTCAATGATCTCCGTCTAGCACACGACAGACTAAGCCTCACTTAATCAGACTCTTTTGGGGGCTTCCTAACAGCATGGGCTCATCAGAACACGAGACGGAACCCCCACACTGAGTCTCTCCGCCCACATCTACACCTCACCCAGTCCGACCCTCTGATGACGTCATCTCCATCCTGTTCATTCACCTGCAAATCTGCACTCCCCCATTCATCACCACCCCATTCATACCCATTTCTCTGACAATCACATCTTCATTAAATCTTTAAACTGCATATCAGTGTGGTGTGGTCCTTGCGAGTGAAATACATTTCAATCAGGTGAAACAGGAGAATGAAGTAAAAAAAACAGTGTAGAGATTGACAGATGATTTGTGTTGATTAAAATTTTCAAAGCAGTCTTTGATACTTGGACACTGGAGGAAGTTTTTTTGTGTTCAAGGGACATCTAAGCAGTAGCAAAATAAATCCCCCCCTGGAGTCCAGACACTGGTGGTGGTGGTGGCTGATGACTCTGAGGTTGCTGACTGCTGAAATGGAGGTGGCTGATGAATCCGTAAAGACTCGGTGGTGATGGGGAGGTGGAAGGCGTGCATGACTGAAGCAAGAAAGAACTATGGCAGAGAAAGAACCATATTTAAAATGAGGAGCAGTAAGATGATAGGCTGACAGAGAAGGTGTGTTGCAAACCTGGTCTCACTCTGAAGTTGTCGAAAACTGGCGCTTGGTCAGTGACTGCAGGCATCAGACACAGAGAAAAGCCGTCCTTTCGTGTTGGCATGATATGTGGCTGGTTGCGATTACTGTTTAATGGTGCTTGGCGATGTCAGGGGGAAATGAGGCAGGACAACAACAAAGTTAAAGTGGCAAAAGTCTGAGTAGGGTGGGCGGGAGGCATGGGCCCAACAACCACCAACTTTTGCCCGGGAGGCCAATGTTCGCTTCCTGTAAGATTGTCAAGCCAAATCCTGTTCTTTTTTCCTAAACAAAACCATGTCCTTTTGTTGCCTAAACCCAACCACATGCGTCTTTGCAAAACATAACCACGTGCATTTGTTGTTGAATGAAAAAAACGTCAATTTGCAGTGTTGTACTATCAAATGTGTGTATTTTGAAAGATACTGTATGCAAACTGCATTTCCTGTGAAAACGGAAGTGTATTTTGAAATCAGACAATGCATGTACAGTAACAGGCTCAAATTGACACAACATGCCAGAAAGTCAACAACCAACGCACCCAGGGTACCTTGCACGTCATGTGTTGACATGGAACGTCCATGACCAAACGTCAATATGGGATGAGGTCGGAGTTACAGTGTGTTGATGCTGCTGTTCTATTAGTTGATTGTGAATCAGCAGAAGAATAGCTGATGACTCAATTGAAAGACCCAAACCATGACACCTAGAGACAGTAGGTGAGCATGTGTGCAAGTAGTGACTAGCAGGGTGAGAAAGAAACTTACAGCCTGAGCATGACAAGAATTGTCTTCCTGATTGAACTTTCACTAGAGCTTCATGAGACACATAGGGCCCTATTTAGATGGTCTAAAACGCAAAGCACCAGGCATGCAGCGCATGGGCGTGTCCCAGTCACTAGCTAGTTAGACAGCGCGTTTTCAGACTGTGTGCCATGGCGGAGAGTCTAAAAGGGTTGGCATTACTCTGTGAATTAGTCATGGGTGTGTTTTGGGCGTATCATTTAATAAGCCAATCAGAGTGTCACCTCTCATTCCCTTTAAAAGAGGCATGACTGGAGCGCACGGCGGAGAGCTAGTTAGATGGTGGACCTACCAACTGGAAAGAGTGAGCGTTTTACATCTGAGGAGACGATAAATGTATCTCTATATCGACTGTCCCGTCACATCTGATGTCAGATCAAAGGGGTTTGGCACCGTTTGGCATGTTTGGCACGCGTAATGGAAACCCAACCTGATTTGATTAACACAGCTGCAAACTTATAAATTCACATCCCTCTCAGCCAGCCACAAACAGCCACAGCATCAAATAGGGAGTATATATTCAGCATGTCATCTTAGAAAAGCCAAAAGAAAAGAAACAGAGAGAGCCCACGCACGAGAGAAACACTGTCAACAAATTGTAAATTATTCAATTTATTTTATTTTAACCCGGGAGGTTAGAGAGCCCAGCTACCTCTCTAGCATCCTGAACCCCCCCGCCTGAAGGTGCAGGAAAGGCTGGTCCCGTGGCTGCACCCGGGCCCGTCTGGTCTGGCTGCGCGCTGGCTGCGGAGCTGGGGTCATCCTCCTCCTCCTCCTCCTCTTCCTCCTCCTCCTGACAAGATGATCTTCAGTTTTACATTCTAAAAGCTTTTTTTTTTACATATACATTTGTAGCCTACTTGTAGGGCTATAAGTTTACGTTTTTAGTTCACAGAAGCTGGTTATTGTTGTGTTTATGTCAAAATAAAGTTTATCAAACATTTTCACATCTTTGATTTTGTGATTTACATGCCAAAATTATCACAATTCAATTGGGAAAGACACGTTCATTTTACAGGCTATGCATCATCAGCCCGTGGAGGTCTGCTTGCAGTTCCGTATATTCGGACACTGCGAGCTTGGGCCTCCCGTATTATGATGATCATTACTATTACTGCAATTAGATCATTCTGATTAATGACTGACCATTAAGACGTGTTTCTGATAAATATTTTAATGTGCACAATAATAATCTTTCACACTGTAATCATATTTTTATTTGTTATCTTTTGCCTATATGTGGCTGCTCCGTGTGTGTCTGAGCAGAGTGCATGCGTGTTGTGCACCCACCTAGAGACGCGTATTACTAACTTTTTTAACAGCGAAATACAGCGCCGTTGACTTTAGACCAGGTTTTTGTTGGTCACTGGCGCATTTGCTTTTTATGTCATCTAACTAGCAACACGCCATGACCGCGCCTGACCACTCCTCATTTTTAGACCAACACACCCAGAGAAGCGCAAGTTCATTTGCTAGTTAGACGAAGAGGGTGCAGGGTGTGAAAATGACAACTGCATTTGCATCTAAATAGCAATGACACTTGCGACATGGATTATGCGCCCTCTGCCGTCCTCCTTAGACCATCTAAGTAGGGCCCATATTCTTTGAAAAAAATCCTCCTCCTCTTCCCACTGCCTTTTAATGGCATTTACTAGATTCAGACTACAGTGCGGTCAGTGTTACCGTCACCAGACCTAGGGGTAATCTGGACGGGTCCATGTCATTGGTTCGACAGCCCATTGGTTCGATATCCCATTAGTCCGACTGTCCGTGGTGCTGAACGGCTCGCGGCGGGCGTATGGTGCGCCGCGACCGGCTTGAGGCGGAGCAGGCTCACGGCTTATGTGTTTGCCACTTTCTTTTTCATTTTAACCCACACCATGATCTTTTCCTGACCCTAACCAAGTGGTTTTTGTGCCTAAACCTAACCAGACCTTAACCACAGGGCATCATGATGATTTCGGAACGGACTTCGGAACAATGAGTTTAATATGGTCGGAACAATGGGATGTCGAACCAATGGGCTGTTGAACCAATGGGCAGTTCCCATCTGGACGGCAGCAAGGATTACACAGGCTAGGGAGCACTGTGTAGCTAAGAGATAAACCTTTCTGTGGATTGATAGAGAGAGGACCAAAGTTAGTGTCTTCCTCATGCCAGAGCTTGTTTATTTCTGCATACACTTCTCAGTCACATTATACCACTAGTTCTCTGCTCAAAGTGCATTAATATCAAACAATTCACACACTCATATGCAAACAAACTGACAATAAATAATGTAAACATTCAGTACAAAGGAAAATAAATACACATAAATTCAAAATACTGTAACATATACCACATAATACAAACTGATGTAACTCAAAATGCATGTACAAAAATAATATAACTCAAAACACACATTCACTTTACTATCATTCAATATCAGCAATATCATTCATATGTTACACGTACAGTCCTGCTCACTCTCATATAACATGAGCGTAACA